TAAAGCTCTACCTCAGGCCCCCCCTCCCCGTTCCTGCCACCCCCACTCTCCCGGAGCCCAGTGGCCCGCCTGGCCTGTGGGTCTTATTAGGCCCCTCTGGCCCCGGACACATGTGCGGGCACAGCTGTCACGCCCTGCAGTCACGCCCACGATGGCTGTGTCACCTCTGACTCGTCCACTTGCATCGAAAGGGCAGGAACCCTCTCTGTCTTGGTCAGGGCTGCAGACTCAGGGCCCAGCCTGCTCCCTGCCACGGTCTAGGAGCTTCTCTAGAGTCTGCTGAGATGCTAACGGGCTGGCGGCTTCGCATCACCCGTGGACGGGAGGGGAACGCTCTGAACCTCGCTCCCACGGGGCCTGACGCTCCCCTGTCCCCATCCTGCCCCCTATGTTGAAAGCAGCCATGCCCGGAGCGGCCGGCCAGCTGCTCCTTCCTGTCTGCACCCACGCCGCTTTGGGAGAGCAGGTTCCGCACCTTCCAGAACACAGGGAGAAAGCCGAGAGCAGGATCGTCCCCCCAGATCTGGCCGAGGGGCTCCCCAGTTGGAGTCTGGTCATTTCCTGTGTAAATTTCATGGCGACCGTGGGTGCTTACGGACAGGAGGCCCCACACTACTTTCCACACAAAAAGATTAGAAGAAACACGACAGAATTTTCTAGAGGCGTGGGGCAGAAGACATAATTATTGACAGTACGTCAGTCTATATTTTTAAGATATATAAGTTGCAGTTTTATTTTTCTGTAACTGGCGTTTTAAACGCATATATTTTCATTAAGGTTAATAAAACTCGAAGAAGTCTGTGAGCCTTTTGTTATAAATAAGCTAATGACGACGCTTTTATTCTGACGTTTCTACGTGGACGTGTTACTTAACAATGGGAAATCTATTTGAAAACTCTTGAAGCTATGGTCCCATCCTAGTTTTTACTTAGCTAATGTCTCTTACCACGTCCTAGTAAGCAATGTTCCTATCACTAAAACAAAGAAATAATCATCAAATAAAACTAATTATTCATGTTGTATGTATTTGTCGGGGTAGGTTTTCCTCTGGACAAAAATCCCCAAAATGTCTGTGACTTCATACAATGAAATTTTATCTTTCCTGCATACCGCAGTCCGAGGTGGGTTGATGGAAACTCAGACTCCTTCCCTTCTGTGCCTCACAGCTTCCGGGGTCACCCCTTCCTCTGGAATGGGGAACCCGCTAAAGCCGATATTACCGATACACGGACAAAGAAAAATCCATAATATGGAGGTAGACAGGGACCTGGCAGGGGGACAATTGCCCCATCGGCTGACACACCAGAGAAAGGAGCTGTGGCGAGTCTAGGCCAGGATGTAAAATAGGAAGCAAAGGGCTCTCGCTGGACCCCATGTAACCAGGGAGACGAGACAGGTGCCATTTGACTGATGGCAAAGAGTGGAATGGGGCAGACGACCCCACGCTACGTTCCTAGTGAAAACATCATGAGAAATAGGATAGAAAATTCTATGATATTAGAATTTGCTACCTAATATTACAGTCACTAATATTACAGTCACTAATATTACAGTCACTAATATTACAGGAGGCAGGTGGGGCTTCCCAAGCAAGATGGAGCAGGTTCGGTTACTTCTCAAGCTACGTCCGCGTCACCCGAAAGGACAAGTCAGGGAGCGTCAGCTGATGACGAGCCCCGGAGCCTCCCCACCGGAACGGATGCTCAGCGCCGGAAGCCTTGTCTCACCTTGTCTCCCCTCACTAATCTCACAGTCACTAACATTACAGTCACTAATGTGTAGACTTGTGAACAGACGTTAGGAATCGAAAGGTTAGGCATTAGCATGTCTGTGGGAAGAGTTCAAGGTCAAGAGACGATGCGATGCACATGCTCCAAGGCCGCGGGCCTCCTGGCACTTGCCAGGGCGCTGTGGCCGGAAGGAGGACGAGGGAGGGAGACGAGGGCCGGGGAGACCCAGCTCAGCCTCTGCTTCTCCTTCCCGCCATCTGCCATCCTTAGGACAAGGCTGGAGCCTTGTTCTTCCTCAGTCGGCAGAAACAATCAGCTCAGAGTAAGATGCACTAAGGGATGTTTTTTTCAGGAGCCCAAGTGTCGCTCACATTCCTTGGCTTTCTCGTTTTTGAAAGTTTCTACTCTGCAGTGGCAGGGTTCCCCGGAAGAGAGGATTCAGGTCGCATAGAAAAGCACAAGACATTTACTTACCGAGCAAACGCTCTGCTAGCAGGCTTTCGTTTGACGTGAGCGGTAGGAACGCCATCGAGTTACTCCGATTTGGTAAATAGACACTCGCGATGGCCTTCAAATTATAAGAGGTAGATCGAGCAAATAGTACGGGTCTATGAGGCTGCAATAAAACAGAGCTGCTCTATGACGGTAAATGTAATATTAGTGACTGTATATTAGTGACTGTATATTAGTGACTGTAATATTAG